CATGAAATCGAGATCTTTGCAACGTCTTAATTTTTTGGCATTGGAGCCTCCGATTGCATGACCCTCTCTCCCTCTCTCCTTCCACCTCGTTACCCCCATGTGCCACTGTCTTTAAATGGTTACGCCTACTGACTCCACTTGTGTGAATCGCTTCGGTCGCCATACAACGAACTTGACTTCACCAAAAGCTCCCAAGAGATCAAGACACCCAGGCGCCAAGGATTGAGTTGTTGGTAGGTGCCACCAGTAGCGCTGTACACAAATTATACAGATTTTGTACTGCAGTGAAACTGTGCGTCGCCTCACAAAGCGTCCAGTGAGCGGGCATCATAAATAACTACAACTTTATAGCAACCACTCTAAGAGATGGACAGGGAAACCTATCACCATAACCATTGAAACAATATTTTATACGTGGTTTATTTTTAAAATAATTATTTTATCTTTTCAAAGTTTGTTGAATTTTTGCTTTCTTGTTCTTGTGAGTTCCTGTTTCTTGTGAGTAAAATATTTGTAAGAATAATATCCAAATATATTTTTGTGTTAGAGGGCCTCCCATAATTTACCTAACACTAAAGATGGGGAGGGGGTTTGAAGCAGCGTTACTCTGTTACATGGGGGCAGGGGATATTCCAATAGTGTTACGTAACATTGATATTTTTTTTACTTTTTTTTGTTGCATTTTTTGAAATTTTTTCCTTTTTATGAGTCTTATTCTAAAATATTAAAATATTATCTACTTAAGTTGTTCTAAAACACAAATATTTTAAAGTTATTAGAAGTTGTTACAATAGCAAAATATTTTTTTCATCCTTTTTGTATTGACTGTTTTGTATCTGTATTATTTCGAAGAAAGTATTCAAAACTGCACTGTGGTATTTTGAAGAGTGCAATCAAACTAGCGCAGTGACTCTCGCCCATGCACCATCCACAACGGCGGCGTGTGCACGGCTTGTGAGCAGAAATCTACTCGTCTGTGCCTCCTTCCTTAACTGAAAATTATCCCCCAATCTTATTGTTAGGTACAGTCAGCATCCACAGCTAATTCCGACTAATTAATTATTATAAATTTTAATACACAACTTAAATAAAATAACACATTGTTTTTGCGGTGCTATAATTTATTTTTACTTGTTGCATTTATAAGGGGGAGGTTATCGCAAGTGTTACGTAATTATTTAAGGGGAGCTCAATCGCGCGTGACGGGTGGATTTCAGGGGGGAGGGGGTTATTCAAAATACTCCAAATTTGGTTACGTAATGTTCTCTTTTTGCTGCTGTGAACGTTCTGTGCTTATTAGTACTTACTTTGAAAGATTGTTTAGTACCAACACTAAAGTCTATTAAAAACTATCGACCGCCAGCTTTTTAAATTCAAAGAGTTTTTATTTTCCACAGCTTTAACAACGAATGAAGTCTTCTTTGTTTAGTAGTGTTAATCGTGTTGTATTGATTAGAAAAATACATACACACTTAGGAACGACACTGAAATTCTGGTCAGAGTGTAAAGAACCATGACACCTAATAGGAAACATTACATTTCTCTCATTAACTCGCTTGGTGACAAGTAAAAACATAAAAACTTCATCAACGAGTGGTTCCAGTATTACCTTGATGAGTGACCGGAGAGTAAGCATTGAGATCAAGTGGGGAAACATGTTTCTGGTCTGTGTAACCTTCCTGGCCCTTTCTCAGTTCATTGACCCAAACGTGAAAAATTTTCATTATTGATCTCTTCGGTTCAATTCAAGTCGTAATTTGTTTCGTTTGCGGCGACATGTTTGACTTTTTATAGTTTTCAAATATCTGAAGGTATGGAAAATGAAAGATTTTACATTATTAAAAGGTTACGTAGTTTCATTGAGAGAGACCCAGGTTATAAAAATGTATAATGCTTTCCATTTAATTATGTAATCTCTTCGTATTCTTTTTCATCTTGATTCATCGTAGACTCAGAAAAAATATTACACAAATGAAACTATTCTATGTATCATACTTCTGCTGATTTGGCAAAATGCAAAGACGACCAGAGAAGAACTAAAATGCTCCCATGGTCCCAGAAGCCATCACTAGAAGAAATATAAATTGTTCAAGACTTCACACGTACGACCGTGTGGAGTGTTTATTGCCAACTGGTACGCCGTCTTGTGTGACGTTTCGAGTTTTGATAAGAGCGCGACCTTTGGGAAGTAATGTGCTACGAGGAAAAGTGAAGTGATGACGTCACAAAACTGGAATCCACCCCTCCCTGGCTGCCCCC